CTTGCAGTGTGTGCCTCTCCATTCTTCCTCCATACTCTGGGTCCTTGGTTTCCAAATGAGATGCAGAATTTGCTCTCATCAGAATAGAGGACTTGACCACTGAGCAACAGACCAGGTCTGTTTTTCTTTAGCCCAGGTAAGACGCTTCTGACGTTGTTTGCTGTTCAGGAGTGGCTCGACATTTGAAGCCCATGTCCAGGATCCGTCTGTGTGTGGTGGCTCTTGATGCACTGACTCCAGCCTCAGTCCACTCTTTGTGAAAGTCCCCAACACTTTTGAATGGCCTTTTCCTGACAATCCTCTCCAGGCTGCGGTCATCCCTGCTGCTTGTGCACCTTTTTCTTCCACACAAACTTCTCTTAATGTGCTTTGATACAGCACTTGTGGGAACATCCAACTTCTTTTGCGGCTTTCCCTCCTTATGGAGGGTGTTTTTTGAGAGCCAGCGGGGCCGACTAGCAAGAAACTGAAGCTTGGCCCAGCGGCAGATTCCTCCATCCACACAGTTTAGCGTAGATGGAGGAATCTGTTGCACTTTTTCCATCTGACCATAAAAAATCTGCAGACAATCTATAGTTGTATGGCCAGCTTACGAAGGCATTTCCCTCATGTTGGAGATTTCCTCACGCTACCGAATGTGTCTACAGGACAGCGAGTGTGGAGAAATCACTAGGATGGATATAAAAAAAACATTTGTGCCTTTCATTGGAAATAAACCGAGCCGATGCTAAACAAGATGGGACACAATTTTAATGACAGCACAACACTTAATATAGAAACTGCCCTATCACAAGAAGCATTGTCAATATTAGTAAATACGCTTTTCTTCGTAAAATCAAAAACATTACATACATTTTTATGTGTATGGACTTTGTAAAAATATATTCTTTACCCAGGATTTTACAACGACACAAACCTGACATAGCTAGCCAATAGCCGGAGAAATCACACAACTGCCTGTGACATACAGATCACCAACAGAAGGATGGCCAAGCATATGAGGTTATGTACATGACTGTGGAACCTCCTGTGGTGCTGGAAATCAGTGTTTGCACAGGTGAACAGTCTTGTGGCCCCCTCATGATTGCATGACTCTGTTCCGTTAACAATGAATGGCCCAGTGGGGCAGAATTTTATGAGCCAGTGGGCAGCATCAACGTGCTCTCCAATACTGCAAACCAGAAAAAGGAATGTTTGGACCCACCCTGTCATGTCCTCGCCGTTTCATATAAGGACGTAAAGTTCTTTTTATTCAGATAAGAAAAGTGATTATCTAAGGGGGTGGAAATATATGGAAACCTCTAGAGCAGTGGTTCTCAACCTGTGTAACCTCAGGACCCACATTTGTCCTTAAGTCACACTGCAATGGAACGTACGGCCTTAGGTCACCACACATTCCAGTATGGGCCTGCAAAATATGGGTGGGAGGTGCGTTTCGGATACCATGCAAGTGAATGGCAACGCAACACCCCTCCCGCAACAGAATGCATGGTAGGTGCGCTTGCCTGTTTCAGTTTAATGCACTGTACTAGTGTGAACGGGCCCTCAAAAATACTGACATACATACACAGACAGTCTCACACACACTCCAAAATTTATTTTAGTATTTCTAAGGTCCACCCAGACTCCCTACCTTACGGGAACTGGAGTGGATCCTTAGCCTGGGGTCCAGGTGGGCTGCTTTGACAGAGCTCCATCCATATGTGCATTGCTTGTACAGCTCCCTTGCACACCCTGTAGAGGTGGCGGGATCCAGAGTGTGATGTCACTGTGGTCCAGGCACCTCTACAGGACACGTGAGGGAGCTGTAACCAATGGACTTATGGATGGAGCTCCCTTGTGGCCATAGCCCCATCTCAAGCTGATACTCGGCACCAGGCAGCATATTTTGAATGGCTGCTTGGCGCATGAACTGACAGTGCTGCACCAGGGGGAGGCTGAGGAGCCTCTCACCTAGAAAAGTGGAAGGCATGCAGTGACCCACTGAACACGGGGTCGAGACCCACTTTTGGGTCATGACCCACCTGTTGAGAACCAAGGCTCTGATTACCATCATGAAAACATTGCCTACTTATCTCAAAACAGAATGTTTATTTATTGGATCATTTGCAGCATTTCCAAAAATGTTACATTGTGCTTTGGAAATTTACAGAAATACAGAAACGTTAACTGGACTTTTCTGTAATGTTGAATATATTTCACCATTCATCCAAATGAAACCACGGAATGTTTTTAGAGAAGTGGTGAAGCATCTTCACATCACCGGACAAGTCTAATTAGATATGACCAACCGCGAACCAGATATACACTGACTTGGACGGATGAAAACCTCCTCAGACACAAGTCCTCATTCTTCTTCAGTGATTCTCGTTAAAGGGCAGGGAATACAAGTTCATTTATATAAAAACATATTTTTATAAAGTTCGAGACATTTAGCCAGCACATGGCCATCTTTCTGTCCGGTAAAACAATACAATACTACAGCCAACTTACACTTCTTAAAACGTGTATCTAAAAGCCAAAAGACATGAAGGAAGGATTGGAGCCCTCTTCAGATTCATATTGCTGTGTGTGCTCCCCTGTTAGGGAGATTTACCCTAAACTATATATCACAAAGCAAGAGAACAATGTGAGGGGAATTTATCACAACTGGGACAAAATTTAGAGCAGCTGCCCCTGGCAACCAATCAGCTTCCATCATTCATTTTCAAAGCATAATGAAACCCTCGGGGTTTTTCGCATTTATCGACTGCTAGCAAGCAGTAAATATATGTAAAAACAAGTCACCGTCGGTCGCTCCCGTCCGTAGATCTGAAAAATTCTCGACCGGCCGAAGGATCATGGAGCGGGTGCAAGCGCAGTATAGATCTTTTGCTGGGAGAAGAGGAGAGACACCGGGTAAGTCAATGCACGCAGCCCGACACCGTGGGACAGGAAGACACAGCAGTCAGTGCTACATCAGAGACCGGCACCAGTGCTGGAGGGACTCCTGAAAACTACAGGAAAGAAGATGAACAGATCAAGAGGCATCATTTAAGTCCTTACACCAGCTTTGGGTGGGGTGGGGGGGAGGGATACATTTTATAATTTAATGTCACTTTAACTGCACGAACTGAAGAAAGAAGTTGATTAGCTGCTATGGGCAACTGCTCCAGTTTCCACATGAATAATGGCAAAAGCCGTCAATAGTGACACTTGTTCCAGTGATAACCAATAGAAGATTTCCGCTCACTTCCTGCTATGTCTCCAGGATGGGGGGGTTGGCTTTAGATCTACTTAATCCTGTTTTAGTCTAAAGTTGCTGGTAAGAGAATACTGGGTCCCACAGCAAATATACTGTCAGAGTTACACAATCACAACATGCAGTCTTGACCAGCATCAGCAGAGTTTTCCCACAAAGCACTTTAGTCTTCCAGCTTACCGGTCCTTACGGCAAAGAGTCCATTATAACAATTGCTTTGTTTGAAAACGCAAACTAGAAATTTAAGACACGTTCATAATATCACATCTAATGTTTTGTTTTACAATACATACTCTCTAGCTTGCCCCTGACCGGTTCAAAACGTATACTAGAGAATAAAGACGTGTGAATTGATTTGCAGTCTCTCAGTGGAATGGCAACCCCTAGATTCAGACGATGTTCTGCAGAAAATTCAAGCAGATCAGCAAACTGCAATTCACCTGGGCGACAAAACTGCTGATCTGTGAAAAGGAACAATGAAACGGATACTTAGATTGGATTCTATTCTACGGGTCGATACAACCAGGTCTATTTTTAGATGCTTTGATAAATGACGCTCGTTGTTTCCGATACATACTAACACTGACCGCTGCGCTCTTCCGCTAGTTCTCTTTATTGGCAGGTTCATGTATCTACTCCCATCGCTGTTACATTTCCGTTGTGCGAGAGGTGGTGTAGGTGAAGCATCGCCTGCTACAACAAGACTGCTCCTGACGCTATCTCCTGCTTCTCTGCGCTAAGAAGGAAGTGTCTGAGAACATCGTGATGGCCTTCCCTCCGTTGCCAGCACATGGATTTCTCTTGCTTACGTCGACAGCCTTCAGTTCAGTAACTTCAATTTGCCAGTTACTTTATTCACGTTCTCTTCTTCCCCCATGATGCCGAGGACGGTGTGCGAGCCCGCTCCAATCTGACAGGGAATAGACCCGTAAGAAGCGTCAGAGGCTAAGTCTATATATAAAACATTGTATTGAAATATTCTAAGAGAAATCAACACTGAAATCTTTACAACAAACTTTTTTCCCCTTTTCAATTAAAAGCATCAAATAAACTCTATGCCAGGGGTAGGAAAACTCCAGACCTCCAGTTGTGGTGCAACTACAAATCCCATAAGGCATTGCAAGACTGACAGCCATAGGCATCAATCCCAGAGGCAGACAGACTCATCTCTTCAGGGAAGACTATCCCACCTCAACCTAACTGCTCAACCATCACGTTCTCAAACAATTCATCCCCACACAGCTCCCTCCTCATGTATCACTTGCCCCTCCCTTTTAGATTGTAAGCCCTCAGGGGCAGGGCCCTCCTTACCATCTTGTCTTGAATTGTATTGCGATTGTAATGTCTTCCTTATATTGTAAAGCGCTGCGCAAACTGTTGGCGCTATATAAATCCTGTATAATAATAGTGGAATTTGTAGTTTCACCACAGCTGGAGGGGCTGATGTTTACCTACCCCAGCTCTATACCACAAACTTGTACATTCTGCAGCCTATCTACAGCCACTCATGCTTTTACAGCAATGAAAACCATCTATAGTGCAAAGGATATATTATATAAAACATAATGGGGGGAATTTATCAAAACTGGAGCAGACTAAATCTGGAGCAGTTGCCCATGGTGACCAGTTTCTCTCTTCAGTTCGTTTAGTTAAGATTTGAAAATGAAAGAGAAGCTGATTGGTTGCCATGCACAGCTGCTCCAGATTTTGTCTACTCCCGTCTTGATAAATTCCCGTCAATATATCTAAAGAATTAAAGGTCCCTCGCTTTAAAGTAATACAAATTTCCGTTATCTGGGTATGTTTGCATTTTGGGTAGAGATTGATACCAGCAGACTCTAGACCCAGGGTGGAATGTAGGAGCCATTTTTGTATATGAAATTGTGTCCAGCCACTTTAGTAACTCAGTCACCCCCTAACATAGCACAGCCAGGTCCTTCATAGCCCCTGGACCCACCCTTAGCATATGACAGGACTAATATATGACAAGTGTGGGGACTAATTTCACGAATGAAATTAGTCCCCACACTTGCAGCAGACTAAGACCTCGCTCTGACAGCTGAATCCTGAGGCCATCTTGACAGACAAAATTCCGGCATTTCCTGGTAGCGATGAACCTTGCCTGCCTTCTGTAGATACCTAAAAATCAGGGGGAGAACCCATCACTATGATGGACCAATAGGAATAAGTGGGCGGCCAGTGAAATTTAGACTATTAGCCTGCACTTCATATCCGACAGCTTAATAGAGTCACTTAAAACTGGTTTGTCAATTCACTGCGAAGTGATAGTATTTGTGTAAAGTTGCCCACCCCTACCCCGATACTCACCTCTCCAGTGACCCCCGTCTGCTCCCAACTCCATCGCAAAATACCGCGCACTTACAGGGATTGGGGGGGGGGGAGCATGTAGCCTCCCATAATGCAATGCTCGGTTCTAGCAGCAAATCGCTAGGCCCAACCTCTTTTGCATAACAAAGGGAGGTAGGTCACCAATCACTACACTGCATTTTTTTGGAGGAAGCCGTGACAAAAGGAAGGAGCAGCAAGGGAATACCAGAGAAGGAAGCATCAATACGTGGTGGGAGTAATTACATAATAGAAGTCAAGCAAGTTTTAACAAACTCTATATGTAACCCCTGTGCCTGTTCTGATAAAAATCTGCCAACGTGTGTGCCAGCAGGGTCAATATCTGATATCGGATCTAAAGTCCTAATTAATTGTTTCCGGAGTCAAATACTATAATGATGTACATATTCTTTATTTGCCTTGCCAATGACCTCTTCCTGTACCTGGGTCCTACCAGCATCCTGCACCAGGTAAGTCGGTAGATCCATACTGATCGCCAGAGCCTGAAGCTGCATTAGGTGAGCTGCGTTGGCACCCTGAAGGACAACCTTCTTAGCCCTGTATAAAAAATAAATAAAATGTATGATCTATGAAAAGAAACATCCCATCATCCTCCCTTTAAATTAAAGTGCAAATTACATGCTGTATTTGTTTTCTTTAGGATTCACCTCAAACAGCCAAATCTGTGCATGCCACAAGCGTTTTACCAATATGCGATCAAGCAGTATGGGTGGAGGGAGATGCGCAGAAACTCAGATGTCATAGTGCATTCAGCACACAATGAGCCATGGTGACACCGAAAGTGGCCACCTTTTTAGTACGATGTCCACTCTACACCCATAGAACTGTTCGCTGACTCGCAGCGAAGATGTAGAGACTGATTGAAGAATGTTAACTAAACAGAAAGTGACGTAAGGTCGTATGGAGAGGTGAGGCTGGGTTCACACCATTTTCCGGATCAGATCTGGAACGCAGGGCATTGGGTTTTTGCTGCGTTTTGAAATATTTTTTTTTGCTTAAAATGGTCTTACAGGTGCGTTTCAGTGCATTCCAGACCAGGCAAAATAGGACAAGCAGTATTTGTCTGGTCTGGAGTGCGCTGGTGGGAACAAAGGCCAGAAATAGCATAGGGATGCATTTTGGGTCCGGTGATGATCTGGACATGGTGTGAATGGGCCCCGAGAGTTAAGGTGCCCATACAACTTCCGATTATCGTATGACAATCGTAACGTGTGAATAGAGTGCCCGACCGACATTACTGTACAATCGTACGACTTTTGACGGTCAAGCATGTTTGAAAACTTTGGTCGATCGTACGATGTTCGCATGGTTGTTGGCGTTTCCGTCCGTCAAAAGTCGTGCGATTAACACTGCGCAAACGAAAATAATTGCGGTCAATTACCGCAAGTCGTCCAGGTGTTTTTTTTTTTAACTACCTCTGATTGAACCTTTCGATAATCTGGGCAGGATGCAGTTTCATCCGATAATCGTAAGGTGTATGGGCACCTATCATTCAATGGATATTTTTTCCCCCACTTGTTTGAAACACACACGGTAAGGATTGCTGCCTTGGCCTCCTTTTTATTAACCAGACTTACCCAAACACATCCCATTTGTCAGCCATCTCTCTGGTCTTCGAATTCTTCAAGAGGAGTTGATATAAGCCAATTGCTGCATGGCCGACCTGTGCTGCAACCTGTGAAAGAGTCTGTATTAACCACGGAATGGCTCAGTTCCCCACTAACTATTCCACCTCCAAAAGATTTGTACAGCTCACATTTAGGATGACTCAGTGTCCCTCATCTATCAGTGTCTGCCCAGAGGCAACAATCAACTTCTTTGAAGTTACATCCATCACCCAGCAATGGATGAAATGGAGGGGCGTGATTTGTGCACTGTAAATCATGTGTGAAACCCAAAAGGAAAGCGATCATCACATCCATCACCGCACACTAAACAGGACCCACATTTATTAACCCCTTCGTGACTGACGACGTACAGTGTACGTCGCCAGCATCGGGGCTGTTTAAACAGACTCCCGGCGACTTTTGCCGCCGGGACTCTGTTTAAACTTGTAGAGCCGACTGTCGGCTTTACAACAGAAGCGATCCTGGCGACTTACCTGTCGCCAGATCGCTTCTGCGTCCCGAAGAAGGGGCCCCCCCCCCCGCCGGACACCCCCGCCGTGCTTCCCGGGCTCCGTTGCCCCTCCTACGGGCCCGGGACCGGCGATCTTTGTGTCCGCGGGGAGCTGGGGAGGAGGTCGACGAACTTCCGTTCATCGATCCCCTCCCCGTTCTATGGGACCGGGAGCGATGCAGATTGCATCACTTCCGGTCCCTGGGCTGTCAGTTCTGGGCTCCTGCAGCCCAGCTATAAGCTATTGAAGTGCGATCTGCACTTCAATAGCTTATTTCCAGTGTAAAGGTGACACTGAGGGTCTTTTGGACCCCCAGCATCACCTTAAAGAGGACCTGTCACCACCATCTGCTATTACATGGGGGGGCTTGCAAGCCCCCCCATGTGATAGCAGTCAAAGTAAAGTAAAAAAAAAAAAAAACAGTTTTTAAAATTAAAATGAAATAAAATAAATCTAATAATAATAAAAAAAAAATTTTAAAAGTACCCCGCCCCCGCGAGCACGCGCGTCGCCACGTAAACACGCGTCGGGTGCGCCTACGCATGAAAACGACGAACGCGCTACACATGTTGGGTATCGCCGCGCACGCCGGAGTGAGAGCAATAATTCTAGGGCCAGTATTTTGGGGTATCTCTAAATTGATGACCTGTGGGGGCTTTTAAAGTGTCTTTTATTGACTTTTTGGGGTACTGCAGTTTTTCGCCGTTTCACGGTCGCACGCAATCTGTAAACTGGGCATGTTGGGTATCGTTTTACTCGTTGTAACCTCATCTTTTATATTTCATTAAAAAAATGGGTAATTTGTTGTGTTTTGGGGCATTTAATTAAATTTGTCACTAAATTTTGGGGTTTAATAAGGAGTTGCGCTAATATTGCGCAACATAAAAATTTTCAACTACCACCATTTTATTCTATAGGGTCTTGGCATTCAGAAAATATATAATGTTGGGGGGTTTTACGTCATTTTCAGGCCTAAAATGTGGAATATAACATGGGTGCAAAAATGGAAAAAAGGGCCTCAGTCATGAAGGGGTTAAAACACAGCTGCTACACGCTGGTTGGTGTCAAAGTGAATTGAAGGGCGTGTGTGTATGTGTATGTGTGTGTGTGTGTGTGTGTGTATGTATATGTGTGTGGATTTTGTGGGTAAAAATAAAGTGAGGGCGAGTGGAAATTTGGGTCTCCAAGTACCGGCTCGCTGACCAACTCCGGCCCGCGAGCCGGTACTATGTGGCCCACAGCCAGCTGACATGTCAGGCACACAGTCGCAAACCGCGTACCTGACTTGCGGGAGCAGCTCCACGGTCTGCATCTGTGTCGGATGCAGACCGCAGTGTACGCTATTGTGCTTTAAGCTGCCCATACACCTTACAACCATCGCACAACTTTTGTTGTGCGATGGTTGTAAGGTCATTAAAATCTCGTACGATCTGCCCATCTTGGACAGGTAGATCGTGCTTGCGATGATCGCAAGCCCTTCCCGCTGAGGGGAGGGCTTCCGATGATTGCAGTGCTGAGTAGGCAGTGTGCACCTGCATACACCGGCCCATGCGGCATTTGTCTTCTGACCACGCCACCAAAAATCGTACGATTTTCAACAGGTTTTTCAGCGTGTTTTGAAGACTAAAGTCGTACCACCTTACAGTAGAATCCGTTGCACGCTGCCCATACACCTGCCCATTATCGTACGATCGTGGGATCACCCACAACTATCGTACGATAATCAGCAGGTATATGAGCACCTTTAGTGTATGTGTATATTAGGCCCCATTCACACCTACAGTATATTTCAGGTGTGATTAGAGATTCCTGTGTCAGGAACTTGCGTTTTCCTGCAGCAGGAATCCCTAATCTGCCGTTTACAAGCGGCAACTATCATAATATAAGAGAATTATCACAAGATTATTTAAGAGGGTGTGTTCAGGGGCAGAGTTAAGGCCGGGGCAGGGTAAGGGTTAGGTGGGGCAACTGGTGGCTAGTGATTCTTTCCCATTTTTTTTAAATCCTCAAACCTATGCTGCAATGCAGGAAGAAACACAAGGCGTAACCTTTAAGTGTTGTACTTTTCTGGTCCATGAACAAAATAAAAACTTACCTTCCCTACCCCCATAGGGAGCTCCATGTTCACCACAAAGACCATTTTGTAATACAATTCATCTTCATCTGCAACCTGGCAAAGAGAAGTAGCATCACTGTACTTGCAAGCAAACATCAGAGGTGATATTACCGTTACTGCTCTGTTGCTACTAGGAAAGACCATTGCACTGACCTCCTCTACCTCAGATTTACATACTAAAGTAGCAGTTTTGAAGAGACATTGCTTCCTCAGCACAAATTCTGAATTGGTGCCGACACTGTCCTTCCTTCTGGAGGGTGACTACTTTTGTTCCCCATGGTCCCTGTAGGTGTTGTAAAGTAGTCACCGCTCCAAGCTCACTCCTCGGATGGACTACAATCTCTTGTTTAATTTAATAATTTGTATTGAGATTGAAGTCCATCACTGGAGCAAGCTTGGAGCGGAGACTACTTTACAACACACACAGGGGCCATGGGGAACAAAAGTAGCCCCCCTCCAGAAGGAAGGACAGCGTCAGCACCAATTCAGAGATGATTTGAGGATCTACAGCTGAGTGATACACATAAGATACTTTTTTGTTGATAGTTCAGGTTCTTGAATAAATGTTTAAGGTTTAACTCCTGAACTCAGTGTCACTTTAATGAAACAAAAATAAAAGTTGAATTTAGTTACCAGATTGTGGTTTTCCAAGCTTTCAAAGTAAAACATGGCGGCCTCTTCAGCAGAGATGTTCCCGGTGAGAAAGAGAGCCTAAATAAAGATTAACAGTCAGTGTTAATCCTACACACCCTCAGCTACCTACCTACCGCTTAGGGAAAACATATCAAATCTTCACTTTTTAAATTCAGATCAACTTTTAACCTTGACAAGGGTTCAATGGAAGAATATAAAAGTGGAATTAAACTCTGTACACCGCCAACATAAAAAGTGAGCACTCCACTGACAAAGCTAAGCAAGTGCTTAGTATATACACAGCAATATTATGAAGCATAGGGGGAAATTTACTTTAAGTGGAGCAGATTGAATCTGGAGCAGCAGTGCAGAGTAACCAATCAGCTTTTATCTTCCCCTTGTTCAGTAAAAGGAGATCTATGAGGTGAGTGCTTTTCACTCACCTCATAGTTCTAGCCGACCTGTGACAATGAGACTGTCACAGGTCGGCTCAGTAGATCGGGAGGTGAGCGAACACATACCGGCGTTCGCTCACCTCTCGATCCTGTCACAGCTCTCTGCCGTGACAGGGGAGGGGCTGGATTCCCCCCCCGATAGCGCTGACTGGCGGAACGGACGGGGAGGGGGCGGGTACAGCTGGCTCTGCCTCTAGATAGGCAGGGCCAGCTGTCAGTCACGCAGCTGGGCGGATCCCGGCACAATTGTCAGGATCCGCTTCAGCGTCTCAGTATACCGCGAGCTACAGCTCGCGGTATACTGAGCCTAGGGTGACGGGAGGACGCCAGTTTGTGTCCTTCCGTTACCCTAAGGAGAACTATGGGGAAAAGCCTTAACCCCTATAGTTCTCCTTTAATGTGCATTTCCACTTTTGCAGCCAAATTGGGATTGGGGAACACCTGTCTCATATTTGTCACATGTTCCCATTTACATTGTATAAGCTAAAATACAAAAATAAAAACGCTCCTTGCAGTTCAAATTGCTGTTTACTTGATAACATTTCTAGTTGGCTTCTCTTCCTTTGTAACATCAGGAAGGACTGCGAGGGGTTTGTGTTAAAAGAGAACTAAAGCGAAATTTTTTTATTCTGGCTTTAGTTCTCTTTTGGGTCACAGGAGTACATTTACTAAAAGCTGACAGCGCAGAGCACACTGCATGATTGACAGCTGGCTCTGCCTCTCTAGAGCCAGCTGTGCCTGCCCCCTCCCCGGTCTGTCCCTCCAATGAGCGTTGGAGGAATAGAGAGAGGGGGAATCCCTGTGGGAGTGGTTACAGGAGTGGAAAGATTACAACCCTGGTTCCTGCATTGTATGTTAACGAGAGAAACACATTCCACAGACCTGCCCTTAGTCTTTCCATAAGGACAGGTCACTGTGAAGGGGCTCAGAAAAGAATTGGATTCAGCCATTTTGCCTGCTGCAACAAAACATTAGAAAGGTAATAAATTTGGTTAAAAAATTTTTTTTTTGGTATGCAGTGTGAATGGGAACACATACCAAACATATTTGACTGCAAACGTGAAAAACACTAAGCTTTCAAAATAAAAGCTAGAAGCTGATTGGTTGCCATGCACAGCTGCTCCATTCTAAGCGAATCCCCCTCAGTGTGTTTTTTGTTGTAGGCCCTTTCTTCCCCACTACCACTGAACCGGGCGCCATCTTAGAAGCTTTCCGGCGTTTACTTTGCATAACCCCACTTCTGCCCTCGGCGCATATCATTCACAAATCACTTGCCATGGTATCATGAATCCATGGTGAAGTGTTCTACCTGCCCCTTTGCTGACCACGTAAACAAGGTCCGAAGATGTTTGTAACGGTCTCTCCTCTGTATGTATTGTGCCGAGCGTTGTTGGGCTTCTAGAAACAAGCTTTTAATCCCTTAAGTGTAAATGGGGACTTGCTGAATAAAAACAAATTAGAAGCAACCAGCAACGAGCACATCTTGGGCATTACCTTCTTGGCCTCTTCTTCCGGAATATCCAGATCTCTCAACTGTTTCAGATATTCTGGATTGACCTCCATTGCTTCCTGGGGAGCGTCAGACACTGCCTCTTCATGAGCCTCCATGACACTGCGAGCATGAAAGCAATGCGTTAATATTTCTACCTCAACATCTGAATGTACCCTCAGGGATGACATACTGGATGCATGGCCTGTCTATTTCAATGATCTCCCAGGTTATGGCTACCTTGGCACAGCCCCGGCCCATCACTCCCAGCAGAACAGTTGATGAATTAGATTGGACTTTCTGGGCTGATCATTGCCTGTTCTGAGATATGAGCAGGATTCAGGGTAGCCACATGTACAACATGCTCTGCATCCTTACGCTTGTGGCTGCTATAGGTATAGGGGTGTACAACGAACATCTAATGAGAAATCTTCAGAGAGTCATAGGAACCTCTAGATATTATACCTGCCCAGTCAGAGGTGAGCGGGTGATCATTTTATATGCTGCATGGTCAAACCATACAGCTATGCCCTGGCTGACCTCTTCTTGCTCATGTAATACCAAATCTGCCCATGTGTTACACAGTTCAGTGCCATCAGTGCGAGCGGGGGGACTAAGTCAGGACCATACCGGTCACTTTAAAACAAAAAGCCACGTAACACAACAGGATAACCCCTTCCCCACCCCATGACCACACAGTATACCCCTCCCCAAACACCCATCCCTCTGACAAGTCACCACAGGATATCCCCACCCCATGACCTCTCCCTACGCACAGCTCACCCCCCACACACCCATCCTTCTGACAAGACATCACAGGATACCCACTCTGCACCCCCTCATGACACCGCAGGATTCCACCTCCCCACCCGTGACACCATAGCATACCCTATGTGCACCCCCTTGACTTCACAGGATACCATATTGCATCACCCTGCCCCATGACTACATAGTATATACCCTCTGCACACAAACCGCATGGCACCACAGGATACCCCCTCTCCCGCTTAACACTGCAGGATATCACCTTTGCGCACACACACCCCATTCCCAGGATACCCCATTCACTTTTCCAAGACACCAAATACCCTTCCACACACCCAACACAGGATGTCCCTCCAGAACCCACCATGACACCACAGGTGACACCTCTGCACTCCATCCCCCAACCATGACAACACAGAACACCCCCACCTCACCCCAGAGGATACTCCCCTCCTCCCCACAATGATATCACAGGATACCCCCTCCTCACCCGTGACACCACAAGATATACCCTCGCAGATACCCTATCTGCACCCCGGTGACAACACAAGATATACCCTATCTGCACCCCCGTTACAACACAATATACTATTTGACACCCCCGTAGCATCACAGGATACCCCTTATTCGCCCCCCATGACATCAAAAGATACCCCATCTTCCCGGGATAATATCCAATACCCCAATCTCTGACGTGACACCTCTTCCGCACTCCTGGGTGACAGAACAGCCGCCTCTCCCCGTTCACACCCTACGGGACCTGCACCGGACAAACAGCACTGTACAGACAGAAGGTAGACGAGAGCGCGCTCATACACCAATGAAGGTTCCGATCACGTGATCGGAAACAGTGGCAGAGGTTTGCAGCCTTCACAGAGAAGAGATGTGCGGTGTGATAAGAGCACCTCCTGCCGGCGGGAGGTGTGAGCGCACATATCAGAGCGGGACTTCGCTGTTCTTACGGTACTACCTCCCTATGTAGTCCATGCATACTTTGTACTATGGTGCTTATTGTTCCCAGCACCTCCCTCTTTATTCCATACCGGATGTCTTCTATAGTACTGGCTGTTCCCAGCACCTCCCTCTGTAGTCCATACAGGGTCTCTACTCTGGTGCTTGCTGTTCCCAGCACCTTCCTCTGTAGTCCATACAGGATATCTCCTATAGTACTGGCTGTTCCCAGCACCTCCCTTTGTAGTCCATACAGGGTCTATCCTATAGTACTGGCTATTCCCAGCACCTCCCTCTGTAGTTCATATCAGGTCTTGCCTATAGTACTGGCTGTTTCCTGCACCTCCCTCTGTAGTCCATACTGGGTGTCTCCTATAGTACTGGCTGTTCCCAGCACCTCCCTCTGTAGTCCATAAAGGGTCTCTCCTATAGTACTGGCTGTTCTCAGCACCTCCCTCTGTAGTCTCACCAGAGCAGTTGTCCCCACTGGAAGATTTCGCCTCCCCTCCTACTCTGGTGACAACTGTAAAACTTCGTACTTCCTATCACTTTCTGTTCTAATAACAACGATCACCAGGGCAAAAAAATTACACAGCTTATTCTTCCAAAGAAACTGCATGTAAGGCAGAGTTAGAAATCCTGCTCTCGTAACATATCATTTATTAGAAGGAAAATCAAAACGATTTTGCACTCTTAGAAATAACAAGAAACAATTCCGGGGTGGATGGGGTCGGTATGTCTAATATTTAATCAAATTATACAAAGTACAAAAATAGAAACATAAAGGAAGTCGGCCGGGTATCAGCATTGTAACCAAGGGTGCTGGAGGCATTTCTCCGCCGTAGCTCGCTTTTCGGGGGAATAATCCAACATGGGTAAGAGGAAGCCGGTGAACACGAGGGCCTCGTTCTTCTGCCACTTGTGCCGGTTCACCAGGGTGTCATAAAGGCCGCAGGGGTACAGGTACGGGATACGGAGGAGGTTACCTGCAGATGAGGATATTTGTTTATAAAGATGATAAGATAATAATAATAATAATAAATACATTTATTTAAATCAATATACTTTTTTTTTAAAAACAACAAAAAACAACACTTCCCGGATGTGCCGGTGACCTTACTATGTCCCACCACTTCTTCCTAGGAAACCTGAGTGCTTAAAATTAAATCTGAGCTTATGGTATTCCCACCCCCCTTTGCACCCTCCCCAACTTTTCGATCATGATTGATAACACAACCATCCCACCCTCCCCCCATGCCAGGGTGCTGGGTGTCATCCTTGACTCGGACCTCACCTTTCTTCCCCACATCCAATCACTATCCAAATCCTGCCGTCTTCACCTTCGCAACATCTCCAAAATACGCCCCTTCCTCACCAATGAAACTGCAAAGTTACTCATCCACTCCCTTGTTGTCTCTCGTCCCGACTATTGTAACTCCCTCCTCATTGGCCGACCTCCACACATCCCCCCTTCAGTCTATCATGAATGGTGCTGCCAGACTTATCCACCTGACCAACCGCTCAGTGTCTGCAACCCCCCTCTGCCAATCCCTGCACTGGCTTCCAAACGCCCAAAGGATAAAATTCTAAATATTAACAACCACTTATTGGTCATTTTGGTGTCACCCCTGCAATGGTGTCTGCACCCCCCTTGTGACACCGCTGATTGACAGGTACTATTCTGTTCTTACAGCATTTTTAAAGGGACAAAGCATGTATTGCAGAGTTGTACTGAATTTGTTTTTTTTTTATTTGCCCTGACATACACTTTAATATTTGGGAGGGGTAATTGAAGGTCCAGTTTGGGATTATAATTTGAATGCATGAACATAGAGTCAAATTATAATTCCAAACAATTTCTTACTTCCAGGCATTTACCTTGCTTGTTAAAAAAGGTTGATGAATTCTTCCCAGAAAACGCGATTTTCGGTGGTATGCGCCCAAGCAGCTCAATCATAGAGGCAATATGATCTAAACGGAAAACATAAAAGTGGTTATTAGTAAACGTTTCCATGCAGGGAACGCCTGAGGGAGGATTTAATTACTTTACTCCTTATCCTGAAAAGGACATAAACACTTCCACCTCCTGCTCCCAGTACATGACATATGACAGGCTCACAGTGGTGACTCAGGTTAGGACTGAACCCGCGCCTGAATCTGAGCTCCTCCAAAGCTACATGGGCCTCCTGCTCAAGCAGCTGTGAGTTGGGGCATTCCCCCGCACCGGAGCTGACCGCAGACAATAGGGGGGATGCTTGTGCTAATGTAATTTTCCTTATATGGCCATGCAGCCATATAAGGTCAATAATAGGGGAATTCCGGGCTGCACCTGAGAGGGTGGCAGGAAAAAGCAGCAGAATGTGTTTCCTTCTGGGTTCAGAGGAGCTCCTTCCGTGTTCAGAGTTGCTCAGGTTTGGACTTGGTTCGGTTTGAACCTGAGCCCATCCCTTGTGGTGACACTCTTATCCTAATATTTGGTGTGCAAGTGAAAATGGGAATATAAAAGATACATCATTTTAGGAAATTCTAGATTTATTGATGTGAAATTAATATTTTAAATGATTACTTTTTTTTGACACAGTAGGGAATGCTTATAACCCATCAGGTTTTTTTGTGTGTGGTATCTGTGTGCCATTGGAGGGACTTCCCATCACTTCCTGTCCCGGAGACAGAAGTGATTGGAAATCTCTCCATATAGCGGGGAAACGCCCTCTTAGAAGCTATTACCAGAACTATGGATGCACCAATACCGATGCTAGTATGCTACTAGTATGCTCCGTTACCCCTGATACTGGAACTTCTGGTCAGAGGGAGATTTCCTCTGACCGGCCGTGCCGTAGGGGAACAACTAGTGTGACCCCCTTTCTGGCTTCCCAGCCAATCGTCATGGAGCTGAATTCGTGGTCAATCACCATCGAGCCTGGCTGAATAGACGGTTCCTTGCTAATTGGCTGGGAAACCGGCTTCCCAGCTAATCAGCATCGAGCTGGCCAAACACCTGGCTCCTTGCTGATTGGCCAGGAAGCCGGCTCCAGGCTGTTTGGCCGGCTCAATGCTGATTGGCTAGGAAGCCGGCTTCCTGGCCAATCAGCATTGAGCCGGCCAAACAGCTTGGAGCCGGCTTCCCGGCCAATCAAGAAGTCGAAGGTGGGTAATGACACGCCGTCTGGCTTCCTGACTCTACCTAAAATAGTACTACAACTGCCTGAATAAGCACTTTAAACCCCACCCCCGAGGAATTCTGCTTCCATAAAGATGGACTTTAAACCACACCCCTGAGGAATTCTTCTGCATTAATAAGAACTTTAAACTCCACCCCAAGGAGCTAAAAAACAGACAGGCTCTCATTCTGTATTTTTTTTTATAGTGACAGGATCACTTACAGGCCACCAGCTGCACCCTTTTAGTGTGGCCATTGTCCATGTTAACCAAGGCGCATCAATTGTAAGGGATTGACTCTATCACCAGGAAAGAGGACAGTTCTATAGGAAAGAGCAAGGGGCCTCTCACCCACTGGACACCATGTGACAACACAAGTTTGACCAGTGACCTGAGCAATGCTGCTAGCATAGTGTGACCTGGACTGTTCATTGCATCCATACCATCGTTCCTTGTGAAGTTCTCTCCAGCTTGTGGCTCGAACAGGTAATAGGACGTGGCCATTTCATATGCCTATAGCAAGAAAAAGCCCTTGTAATCTATATAGAAATACACTTTTACAGACTAACTTCTTTCCATTTCTATATGACATATGCCATATATCTATTATCTATCTATCCATCTCTCTACTAGACTGGAGAGCACACACCATGCATGCAGAGCTCCATATATCAGCCGGGGTGCTGTATCCAGAGCCCAGAAGGACCTCCAGTGACCGGTACTGCTGCGTCTGGATCTCTTCAGAAAAAGGTTTATACTGAAAAAGATTGAGAGACATTGCCATCAATGGACTAACACACGCAAAAACGCGCACAGAAATGTGCAAAGCACTTGTGTTGCGGGTTTCCATTTAAGTCTACGGGGACAGTCTATGATAGCTGGAAGCGCCAAAAAGAAGCTTGTGTACCTTTTCCAGCGTTCTGGGTTTTACAGCTTCAGGTGTGAACAGGGGACATTGAAATGAATGGGATTTATTGCGTTGGGAGTTTTGTCATGCTTAGCTTTGAGCATCAAAACGCCTAGGAGTGAACGGGGCCACCAACAGGTATGTAGTGGAGGGCCTTCCCGGACTGGATTTAAATGGAATGGATTGTTCAGGTAAATCCTCTTGTTACATAGATTTCAGCTGAACTACAGTATAAGAGACTGTTGACTTGATCTTGGGATAAGGACACATTACCAGAGCATGACCTTAGGATACAGAGGGGATATGTGCGCCTCTGTATGGGTGGTGGTGGTGGTGTTGGGGGGCGTTAGATAATTGCTCAGAATTAGGAGCCTTGTATTCTAGATAACTAATTATGTGGCTACTTACCGTCCAGCATGCACTTCCCAAGTCCGCTATTTTAATCCCCAGCATGTCCACGTTTCCGGATACAATCAGATGAGTTAGAAAATTTGCATCAACCCCTGAAATGATACAAAGACATCAGACTCGTTATGAGGACACATTCAATCATTCCGTTTTAAAAGGATTAAAATGTGATACAAGTCCAAATGCATTGCGCTGTAACGTATGGCTGCCGGGAGCTGTGTCGGGGTGCCAGTTAAAAGGATGGCAATGCAACGCACCTAGTACACGGTAACGCAAGCTATGTGCACTGTGCAATATTGTGTGCTATACACACGGTTGCGTGCACTTCGCTCAACGCTCCGATGTGAATAGGCCCTCAAGTGTATCTAAACTCAAACACAAAAATGTTATATAATGCAGCTGACCAATCCTTAGATGTGGTGGCTGCATTTTGTTACCTTTTTTTGGTGATCCTGCCAATAACACACTTCCTGTTCTAGGGTGACAACGCTCACTCATTGTAGTGCTGGGGGTAGGCAGCCTTGGGGCTTCAGCTGTGCTGTAACTACAAATGCATTAGGTGTGAATGGGCTCTATGAGTATGCACTACTTTTTTCCACTGCACCGCAAGTCACTGTATTGTGTTACCTTGTGTTGCAGTGCGGTCAAACGCATTGTAGCTGGGAGGTGCATTTGGAATGCCATTTAAATGAATGGCAGCGCAACGCACCTGCCGCACTGTAATGCATGGCACCAGAACCATGTGATTAACGCACAGGGGAGCTCTGTCTTCGGGGGCCCTCTAAGTATGGTGACCCCATGATTTTGTTGCAGTACGGTGGCTGTACGGTGTCCCATTATTTTTAATGGCGGCCCTGGCTGGAGGCTGTGATATGTCCATTGCAGTGGCTGTAATATAAATAATACCTTCGCTGATTCTGTTTTGGTTCCAGATGGCGGCCTCTTCCATGTACCGCTGCAGATTGTCCTCATTCACGCACACGAGTATGTTTTCTGGTTTAATGTCCGTGTGGATGATACGACATTTCACGTGTAAAAAGCTCAGACCTTGGAGCACCTTCGAAAACAAAACAAAAAAAGAATAATTTTTACATTATTCTAGTAAATTGTTTTAGCAGAACAAAAACATTGCATTACTGTTGTTATTATCTACTGTTATTTTTTAACTGAAATTAAATTCATTGTAGACCTCACTAGGACTCCTACAGCTCCCCGGCATATAGCTTTAAGGACCATTAAGATGAATATAGAAAGTGAGGCCATCCTTCTCCCTGTGCTGTCTGATGGAGCTCTGTAAATCTCAGGACTGGATGAACAGAAATATAAATCCATCGACAAGTAAAACAGTTCCATGAAATGTATTTAATCTGTGTGTTAAAGGGGTCTATTTATAAACAATTCACATAGCCAATTGCCCTGCAAATCTCTTTGAATGTTTGCAGGAAATAAAGAGATTAGCTTTAAAGGAGATCTATGAGGTGAGTGCTTTTCACTCACCTCATAGTTCTAGCCGACCTGTGACAATGAGACTGTCACAGGTCGGCTCAGTAGATCAGGAGGTGAGTGAACACATACCGGCGTTTGCTCACCTCTCGATCCTGTCACTGCTCTCTGCCGTGACAGGGGAGGGGCTGGATTCCCCCCTCCCCGCTCCGATCCGCCAGCGCTGACTGGCGGAACGGACGGGGGAGGGGCCGGGTACAGCTGGCTCTGCCTCCAGATAGGCAGAGCCAGCTGTCAGTCACGCAGCTGGGTTGATCCCGGCATAATTGTCGGGATCAGCTTCAGCTGCGGCGTCTCAGTATACCGCAAGCTACAGCTCGCTGTATACTGAGCCTAGGGTGATGGGAGGACGCTAGTTTGTGTCCTCCCGTTACCCTAAGGAGAACTATGGGGAAAAGCCTTAACCCCATAGTTCTCCTTTAAAGAGTCAGGGAAAACTGTAGTGCTTTCTTACACTGGAGGTCAGTGAAATGTCCCCTTACACTTGTAGTCAATGAGAAAATGGCCCTCTTATACTGGTAGTCAATGAGAAAATGGCCCTCTTATACTGGTAGTCAATGAGAAAATGGCCCTCTTATACTGGTTGTCAATGAGAAAACAGCCCTCTTATACTGGTAGTCAATGAGAAAAGGGTCCCCTTACATTGGTAGTCAATGAGAAAATGGGCCCATTACACTGGTAATCAATGAGAAAACGGCCCTCTTATACTGGTAGTCAATGAGAAAAGGGCCCTCTTACACTGATAGTCAATGAGAAAACAGCTCTCTTACACTGATAGTCAATGAGAAAACAGCTCTCTTACACTGATAGTCAATGAGAAAACAGCTCTCTTACACTGATAGTCAATGAGAAAACAGCTCTCTTACACTGATAGTCAATGAGAAAACAGCTCTCTTACACTGATAGTCAATGAGAAAACAGCTCTCTTACACTGATAGTCAATGAGAAAACAGCTCTCTTACACTGATAGTCAATGAGAAAACAGCTCTCTTACACTGATAGTCAATGAGAAAACAGCTCTCTTACACTGATAGTCAATGAGAAAACAGTCCTCTTATACTGGTAGTCAATGAGAAAATGACCCCCTTACATTTGTGGTCAATAAGAAAAGGGCCCTCTTACACTGATAGTCAATGAGAAAACAGCTCTCTTACACTGATAGTCAATGAGAAAATTGGCCCATTACACTGGTAATCAATGAGAAAACGGCCCTCTTATACTGGTAGTCAATGAGAAAAGGGCCCCCTTACATTGGTAGTCAATAAGAAAAGGGCCCTCTTATACTGGTAGTCAATGGGAAAACAGCCCTCTTATACTGATAGTCAATAATAAAAGGCAATAAATATAATTCCGTGTCTTATGTGAAAGACATTCATCAGAAAAGTGCTAATTGCTATGTATGAAGTGATTCTGTTTAAACATCGAGAACTATTTTTGTGAGTCCATTGTGAGTCCAAATGATGTGCAAAATCAATACAGCAGTTCTGGTTCAAGAAGGCATGGGGCAGTGCCAAAGAATTGACTCTTCCTTGGGGAGTCACATTTTCTGGCAAGCTCAAAGCCTTATTGCAATGAATATTAAAACAATTTATGGAAATTAGGCTATAAGACGCTTTTTTTCTCAGTGCTTTTAGTTGCTATTTTTTAATAACGGTGATAAATTTGTAGAAGGTATACCTGTTGTAGAATTCTTTTCACACAGCTCAGTGGTAGTCCCTTAGGCTCATGGTTCCTCATCAAGTGTAGGAGAGAAGGTCCCAGCAACTCAAACACGAGGCACACATGTTGAATCTAGTTAAGGACTTCTTAATAATATTAATAAATGTTTAGTGCCAAGATATCTGGCAGCACAGAGAATACACTGTCCTTCCTTCTGGAGGAGGGCTACTTTTCTTCCCCATGGTCCCTGTGTGTGTTGTAAAGTAATCATCGCGCCAAGATCACTCCTTTGATGGACTACAATCACAATACAAATTAGTAAACTAAACATGAGATTGTAGTCCATCAAAGGAGTGATCTTGGCGCGATGATTACTTTACAACACACGCAGGGACCATGGGGAACAAAAGTAGCCACCCTCCAGAAGGGAGGACAGTGTCAGCACCAATTCAGAGATGATTTGAGGATCTACATCCGAGTTATACACAAAAGGGAATTTATCAACACCGGAGCAGACAAAATCTGGAGCAGCCCGTGCACGGCAACCAATCAGCTTCTCTCTTTCATTTTCAAATCTTAACTGAACAAACTGACGAGAGAATTTGATTGGGTGCCATGCAAAGCTGCTCCAGATTTTGTTTGCTCCTGTTTTGATAAATTCCCCGCATTTTTGTTAATAGTTAAGGTACTTGAATGTATTTTTAAGATGAAACTCCTGAGTTTAGTGTCACTTCACCAATGATGAACTTCGATGAACATTATAACAAGTTGGTACAAAACAGAATCAGTTGTCTTTGCAAGCATCAGGATATGGAGGCCGTTTTCTCCGATCAGTTTAAAGTCCTGCAGAAACCGTATGACGTTTTCTCCCGGCGATTCCTTTTTGCGCGCGCCGTTCACCTGCGAGTGAAAGATAGCGGCTTGGTTTTAAGAAAATGTTATAACTTCACTATACAACCCAACCAACTGTGCAAACATGAATACAGAGGTGAGACAAGTAGAGAGTGAACCGGGTATAGAGAAGACAAAGGGGCGTCATGGCGTCATTACACTAAGCTGCGCGAGTTATAATAAAGCCGGCCATACACCAGAAGAATTTAATTGGAAAAATTCATTTTCAGACATTCGTTTGAATTTCCAATAGTTAATGGGGGCAAAACGATGATCGATTTTGACCATAGTGATAAAAACAAATCAAATGAGCCAAGGACCCAAGATTCACACAACGTTCACCCAAGATTCACACATTATTCACTTGGATCCAATTAGAAAAAATAGTTTATCATGTTGTGTGACCCGTGGGTGAAACATTTATAAATAAACCCCTTTTGTGTTCTCTTAATTGTACACAATGCACTATACTAAAGCTTAAAATTGAACTCCAGGAGCAAAAACCTTTCATTTAAATATATTCCTCAAAGGATATAATTTCCAGTTTGTGTGCCCCAAATGCCTTTGGAAAATCGATTATTATCATGTAAAAGTAGCAGTGGCATCATCACTGCGCTGTATATAATCTGTGCAGGAGGAGAGAGCTGTGGGAGGGGCCCAGCAGGCTCCATCCACTACAGACTACCTACAGAAAACTACAGGAGGGGGTGGAGACAAGACCAGTCACCCTGCACAAGGAGAGAGCAGCAGTGACCGGTCTTTTTTACAGGAAGCTCCAAACATTACAACCGGAGGGCTTTTTAAGGAATAAAAATGTTGGCGTCGCCATGACAAGATATTGATTTAGCCCCTTTTGATTAAAAAATGCCCCAAAGCTGCCAAAGTGTAAAATATCTGGATTTCAGCAGCAATTTTGTCCTTAGAACCCCACAATCTACCCTCATTACATTATTACACAGTTAAGCAGCGCAATTTCATCCTCGGCGGCTTCATTAAACTTTTTCCCGCTCTTTGAGATCTTCACCGCAACGCTCTTCTTCATCCTGGAAGGATAAATTATTGGAGATGTAATCAATCACATCTTTTTTTTTATATCAGGACTGAAAATGTATTTTGGATTGTTTGTCTTTTATTGGGATGGACTGGTCAGCATTGGAGCACCTTGTCTACCTGTCTGCTGTAAGTTACACCCAATGCCAGCAAAGGTAGTATGGGCAACTGCACACTAATGATGGCTATCAAAAAGAATAGAGAATGCAAGAAGTTCGACTTACTGCAAATCCCGGCACAGCCACACCGTGGAGAAATAGCCCCATCCGACCTTGTGCATGACTTGGTACCTCCTGTTCAGCAGCTCCCCCATTTGTGCCGGGTGGTATCCTCCTTTAGGAATTTAGGCAGTAAGGGGATATACAATGAAACAGAGCAAAGTAGACTTTGAAAGAGACCCTGTCCTCAGACCAATAATTACAAATACTTTCCATAACTTTATATGCGCAATTAATATATTTTAGTCATACCTGTAAACCCTCCCTTTTGTAGAGATACAAAAGCCCTAAGACTGCTGCAGGGTGCTGCCATCTTGGATGTATATCAGCAGCCCCAACAGGCACTCTATATTAAGCCTATCTCTGGTTACACCCCCCATCCCTTGCAGTGGGGCTACCTCTACTCTGCAAGGGTTTAAAGCAGTTTACTTAAAGGAGACCTATGAGGTGAGTGATTTTCACTCACCTCATAGTTCTAGCCGACCTGTGACAATGAGACTGTCACAGGTCGGCTCAGTAGATCGGGAGGTGAGCAAACACATACCGGCGTTCCCTCACCTCCCGATCCTGCCACGGCTCTCTGCCGTGACAGGGGAGGGGCTGGATTCCTCCCTCCCCACTCCGATCCGCCTGCGCTGACTGGCGGAACGGACGGGGGAGGGGGCGGGTACAGCTGGCTGTCGGGATCCGCTTCAGCTGCGGCGTCTCAGTATACCGTGAGCAGCTGCTTGCGGTATACTGCGGCGTCTCAGTATACCGCGAGCTACAGATGGCGCTAGTTTGTGTCCTCCCGTTACCCTAAGGAGAACTATGGGGAAAAGACTTAACCCCAATGTTCTCCTTTAACTGATCCCCGCTCCCGCTGGTTCCAAGATTGGCCCCCCGTAGCCTCTTCCGCTCTATGCCCTGGTAATCAGAGGGTCATTGATGTCATCACATCTAATGCAGGGTCCATAGCCCTTCCTTAGAAATGAGAATGCCAAGAGACATTCCACAGGGGAAGGGACAGTTCCCCATGTCGTGAGAATGGTAATCTACATTCTGTTTTAGAACCAGGAGCACCTGCGTGTCACTGACAGCTGCTGGTCCACACGCATAATGGGAAACCAATGAGTGAGGTTCCTGATCATGTGAATGCCCAATCATGGAGATCACATGAGGTTTATTTACAAACAGGTTCACCTTCTTCAGCTGTCACTGCGCCTCATAGAGAGAGACGGCAGGCTACAGGAGTCACTTCGCAATACAACATGAAAAAAAATTAAACGTGTATAATAACCAAAATGCATTTTTAAACAATTTTTGACAATTTGTAAACTGATAATAAAATTAAAAAAACAGGATATTGATTAAAATAATGTACCAAATAAAAAGATTTGTATGCCTTTAAAGTGTATTTCCACTTTTGCATCTGAATTGGGATAACACCTACTTTATATTTGTCACATGTTCCCATTCACATAGCATAACTTTAGACAATAGTTAAACCTCTTTAACCCTTTGTTAGGGCAGGCAGCCCAGCACATCTAGTTTACAACTGATCATAGAGATCTGCCAGCACAGAACAGACAGGGTTTCTTATGGTAAACACAACTCCCTAGCCCCCTCATAAACATTGCATAGCAAAGAAAAGCCAAGTCAGAGTTTTTGTTTCTGGAATTTACAGCAAAGATCATCTAAAATGTTAAGCAGCCATTTGTAAATATTTCTTTAAGTTCTGCTATGTGAATGAGAACATGTAATAGATATAACGAAGGTGTTGTCCCAATTTGGCTGCAAAAGTGGAAATGCACTTTAAAGGGGTTCTAAAGCCTCTGTTTTTTTTGCCTATATCTACTGCTATCAAGCAGTAGATATAGGCAAAAAGATTTTTTTTTAAACGTTTTAACAGCGGTTTAAACTTATCTTGCTTTCACTGCGCGTTCCCGTCCGAGAAAACGAAACTGCTCCGGCGGCCGCAAAGCATCTTGGGGCGGGCGCATGCGCAGTTCGGATTCTCGGCCGGCAGACGAGCAGAGAAGCAAGGTAATTCTATGGACGCATGCACCTGCATGCAGACACCGTGGGATCAGAAGGGCCTGCAAGCAGAGAGGAGTCAGCGCTGGATCGGAGAGCCGCCGCACTGTTGGAGGGACAGATGAAAACATCAGGAAAGAAGAGGAAGATCGGATTAAGAGACATCATTTAGGGTAAGTGCTAACATTAACATTGGGGGGAAGGGAAAAAAATATCCTTTATTGTCACTTTAAGCCTACAATACCAGCCTTTCCTACCCTCCTCATTTTCAATACATCATCCAAACGAGATTAATTTTGGTCTTAGGCCTTTTTATAGAGGAGAAGAAAGCATTGCAAACCTCGTGAGGAATTTCAAGATCTTCAGATGCTCATGGCTTGCAAAGACATCCAATCCCGTGAAAACCTAAACTGGGCCAACTACAAGTAAAGTAAATTTCCCCACAGCCAATGTATCACCTCCAAGTGTTCTAAAGGACCTACCTTGGCAATATTCTGCAGGATTCTCCTGGTCCAGCTCTTTAGTAGACATAGCCAAAGCTGTATTTGCCTCTAAGCCGGATGCTTGCCCCTGAAACACAAGCATTTAGTACACATTAGTCTCTCCATCCACTTAGCCTCATGTGATATTCTGTTAGCTCATTGTTACCATGTCTGTCTATCGATGCCCTCCCCCCTTGTCCTCAAGGACCCTTCCGACCTGTTCTCGGGTCCCTGACAAGTCAGGGATGTGCCAGGCCTTGTAAAGGAGTTTGGCATTTCCTTCTGGCTCGGGGAAGCTCAGATGTTTCAGTGAGGAAAGTGCTAATGGAGAAGGCAGTGATGTCAAGCTGACCTGCCTAGCCCTTGTGCCCTGGCGGACATCCAGTAATACAGTTGGCGGCTTTCTGATTCAGAATAAGGAGCAGCGAGGGATTCTCCAGATGAACTCAGCTTCTTAAATCTTTTCCTTCATTAGTGGGGAATTATAGAAATGGATGCTTGGCAAACAAAATAAGTAAAGGAGATGTAAAGCCTAACTGGATGGCATTTGATTTGTTATAGCATAGCATATCATATACAATTGCCATTTGTTTTCTTTTTTAGAAAATACATGTTTTGGTTTTGAGTTTTTTAAAACCTTTTTTAATTCTTTGTTGTATCTCAGTGTTGCTGATCCCCTGCAGACTTATCTCAGTGTTGCTGATCCCCTGCAGATTTTTTTTTTTTAGATGCAAGTTCCAGCAAGCAGATTGCTTTTTTTCCCCTTCCGCAATAATGTAAATAAATATTTGGAACCCTTTCAAGCATTTATTTCTAAAGCTGAGCTCTAGATATAAAGTATTAAGCATACATACACTGGTGTAGCTTGGCCCAATGTAAGTATGCATATGATATACCTGGTGGGCCCACAGGCATCCTTTAAAGCACTGTAGTAGCTGGAGCTACTGCAGTGCTCATGGGGATCCTTTGGGTCCTATATGGCACTAAGCTGAGTGGCTTCCCCTCTGCTCTGAAAACACAGGGGTCTGCTTGCGGCCATTCATACAAAGTAACATTTTTATCAATGAATACAAGGCGTTCTCTGAATGGAGGAGGTGCAGTTTATGACATCACCACCCCTCATCCAATCACAGTTCCGGCTGGAGTACTCAGATTACAAGGGTACATTCTCATTCCAGCTTCTCCATTGCATAAACATATTGCATTCTTTTCACTGCATACAAAGCACTCTGTGAATGGAGGAGGGCAGATTTGGACATTCAACTGCCTCTCCTCCAATCACAGAGCACCATGCAGCAACTAAAAAGGATGCAAGATGTTTATTGAATGGAGAAGGTGGAGTTCGAGTGCCCCCCTGTGATCTGTGTACGTACCCCAGTCGGAGCTGTAACTCTCAGCACTGCACCTTCAACACTGACTGCTATGTAGGGGGGTGAGTTGAAGACAGAGTTGTACATAGCACTGAAACCTAGATACGTGGCACACTCTTCATTAGTGTGGATTGGTTTTTACAGTGCAAATGTCAAAAAACTGTCTTTGCCCAGAGTCCAGCTTTATCATTTCCAAAGTTGTTTTCAATCTTTTGAAGTTTGCAACTTTCCTTATCGTTCCTGGCGATCCTGCCGTGAATTACCTTGTTCAGTCACATCCTGTTATAAGGTGACAACTATCTCTTAACTTTGCTCCTGGGTTGGTAAGTTATGCTTCCACCCATAGCAGCCAATCAAAATCTTTGTTCCATTTGGAGGATGAGTCCCAGCCCTGCCATAGATAGTTTTGCTTGATCAGATCATTCTTGCAGCATGGGTCAGTATCACTCTTCATCTTTTCCCTTTCAAGACTTCATCCATATGTTACAAGATAAGACGGTGCAGATTGTACTATGATCTTTAAATTGCTTAAAGCTGCCTGCATTTTGCTGGGTTAATCGGCAAATATTACATGTAATCCAAGAGCTCAGCGATCTCCTATCCTGCAAATCCATGCCGTGATGTAGACAAGTCTTGTTTAATACAAGTACATGCCAAGGATTAAAGTCAGGGGTATAGGTTTACCCTGGAAGACTTGAATATGGCAAAATGGGGACGATTCATTCTGTAATTACTGTCACTCTTAGGAAGAGGCACATGGCACATTATAGTGTATGATATTTTATTATTATAACATAATTATATGTAAAGCCGTAAAGCCAAACTAAGCACCTACAGTACATGGGGCAATTCCCCCCAAAATACACTAGCAAATTCATTTTGGGTGGAAGTCACTTTGAAGGGTACTTTGACAGGCATCTTTAACATCCAGCTGATTCCCCAAAAGTTCCAGTATTCTTATCTTTGCAATGGCCCTTAAAGTGGAACTGTGGAATTGCTATAGACAGCTGGGCTTAAGACTTGAAGGGTAGGGGTAGGGGACAGTACATTATAAATGTAACTGAACCAAAGGTGCACTTACACTAGCAAAACTGTTGCTATGCCCTACTTGAGCCAAGAAATCCATACAGCTTTGTTTTTAAAGTTCAAAAGATGCCAATGGTCCAGAATAGCCTGAGAGATACCTTCTTGCATTACCATTAAAAGGTGAGAGGCAGCATCTGGTATGACTTGTTGCTCCAAAGTCATTTTCATGGTCGCCCTATAGAATTTGGCTGTATCTATGCTGGACACCAGCAGTTCTGGAGGCCTAGTTAGCCAAGGGGTGTAAACAAATAATTTGCATGGCTCCACCCACTGTCCCAAAATAAGGCATAAACCTCTTATTTTTGGCATATATGATGGAATGAGACACATGAATACCTTTTGTTCTAAGTAGGTTCTGCTGTGCATCACACTGGTTTGGTGGAGTGCTTTTTGCTTCCTTTAGTCCCTCATCACCATAGCCTTCTGGGCTATGCTTTCCCATTTTTATGATGAAGATGAAAAAAAAACCCTTCAAGGAGAATTTGCTGCCAGTTTACATAACATCAAGTCCAAATACAGCCTTAAATATATAGTTATCAAAAAAAGATTAGCTGGAATATTTTTCAGGGCTTGTGTGACTAGAACTATCCCTTATAAAGGTGTCTGATTCCCATAAGTCAAAATATGTTTCCCGCTCATAGGGAGCAGAGGTATCATCCTATCTCAAGTTTTATAGATCTCTCCAAAGACTTTTTAAATCGACGTTAATGGCCAATTTTCCCACACCCTGATAAGTGGACGAGTGCTGAAAATAGCCATCGTGTTGTAACATATCCTCATCAGCCTTCATGTCTGGGGATACGTGATATGTCAAATTCAAGTGACATAGAAGGGTAATTTCAATGGGTCAAACTTAGTGATGACTACAAGACTGTACAGTGACAGCAGGCCCTTCAGTCAGCCAGTACTGTATATACATGAAATTAATTTTGAAGGGGCTGACCTACTTTGTCCCAATTTTGTAAAAGAAAAAGTCCTGAAAAATGCAAGCAGAACCACCAATTTTGGCAACAACTGTAACAGCCTGGCCATTTGGGCCGATCATTGTTGTAGAGATTTCTCAATGTGTGGACATTTTTTTGAGACTGATAGCTAATTGTCCTGTTCTCTGCAGGGACAAATAACAATTATTTACTCGTCAGCCCAAAACTATGAAGCTGGAAGATATCCTATCACACTTTGTTACATTGTAACATACAGTAGTAACATACAGGGACACATCTATTCATCTATGGTCAGGCTAAGGCTGATCAAACACCAGAGGAATTAATTTCATTTGCACTTTCTTTCAAAATTCAGAAAAATTGTTCATCAGAGCATTTGATCTTGACATCATTCAATCAACTAATTCTCTTTCGAATGCCTTTAAAATTTCATCCAGACTGGCTACTTGAATGTAATACTAGATGTATTAGACATGTTTTGTTGTGCTTAGCACATGCACATTACAATATGTAGGATTTTTCCAGAATGGAAAACAGATTAATAGTTAGAATTTCGTTAGTTCAGGTAAGAAATAAGAAAAAGTTTCCATCCTGAGCCTTAAAATTTGACCTCTGTATACAGTCGAAAGCAATCGTTGATTTGTCCTCATTAACTATTAAAAAAATTAATGAACGTTTCCAAAACACTAACAAAATTCTACTGGTTAATGGCCAACTTAAAGTGACACTAAACTTCGAAGTTAAACCTTAAAAATACATTAGAGTACCTAAACTAATAACAAAAATGTATCTTATTTGTGTATTGCTCGACTGCAGATCCTCAAATCATCTCTGAATTGGTGCTGACACTGTCCTTCCTTCTGGAGGGGGGCTACTTTAGTTCCCCATGCTCCCTGTGTGTGCATTGCTCACTCCCGTGATGGACTATAACCCAGGGGCTGACTGGCAACTTTTAGCCCAGGGGGCAAGTACAACCTAGAGGCCCATGGTGCAGCAACTTGGCCTCCCTCCCGCTCTGCCTCTTCCCCCCGCCTTCAGTATAAATTAGTAAACTAAATGCGAGATTTTAGTCCATCACAGGAGTGAGCTTGGAGCGGTGGCTACATTACCTCATGCACAGGGACCATGGGAAACAAAAGTAGCCCCCCTCCAGAAGGAAGGCCAGCGTCAGGACCAATTCAGAGATGATTGAAGGATCTACAGCCGAGTGATACTCAAATAAGATAAATTTTTGTTATTACTCAGGGTACTTGAACGCATTTTAAAGGAGAACTATGGGGTTAAAGCTTTTCCCCATAGTTCTCCTAAGAGTAACAGGAGGACACAAACTAGCGTCCTCCCATCACCCAAAGCTCAGTATACCGCAAGCTGCAGCTCGCGGTATACTGAGATGCCGTAGCCGGAACGGATCCCAACAATTCTGTCTGGATCCACCCAGCTGCGTGAGTGACAGCTGGCTCTGCCTATCTAGAGGCAGAGCCAGCTGTACCCACCCCCTCCCCCTGTCCGTTCCGCCAGTCAGCGCTGGAGGATCGGACAGGGGAGGGGGGGGGAAATCCCTGCAGGGAGCTGTGAGTGACAGTCACGGCTCTCTGCAGGGATAGATCGAGAAGTGAGCGAGCGACGGTATGTGTTCGCTCACTTCCCGA